ACTCAAAAAACCTGGCTTGTGATTTAACTTAGTGAGTGTAGTCACGCAGCAGTCTCTGAGATGGCAATCGTATGCACTGTCTCATTGTCTCGTATGCAGCTTGAGACTGGTGTCGAATTAGTATGCACAGTTTTATCATCAGTGGATGCCACCTTATTGCTCGAGAGTCGGATTTTTTTAGGGCTTGTACTTGTTGCTCCCAGAATATTCTGTGAAGCGACGTCTGGTGTGTAACTTGATCACATTCATTTAAAACAATCTCTTTTAAATCATTGTGGTCATTTTGATTCAGTGATAAACTCTGCTTTGCTATTAGTGTTTTGATTTTATTTTCTAAGCGGTCTCGCTGTTTTTTAACTTTTGTTAACTGTTTGTGCAATGTCTCCATTCGATGCTTCATTTCTTCTTTTGTTAGATATTTGTAGGAAACAGTTGTTGTTGGGTCTGTTCTATTGGTGTTATGACACTGAGCACGGCACTTTTGGACCATCAGGGTTCTCCTTTGTTGCATGCAAGATGGACAAAAGGATTGAGATTTACGACAGAGAATGTGACAGCTTGGATTATGTATTATTTCGTTTCCTGTAAATAGGAAAATATACTCTATTAATTTATGGCTTGTGCCATGAGGCATACTATAGGTAGGCTAAATTTATGACGATATTTAATTAATTTATATTTATATGTATTTATATTTATAAGTGTTTCTATTAAATTATTTATAAGTGTAGTAAGCTTACCCATTCGAAAGGTAACTGGTGTTTTAGTGAAATCAGTATTTGTCATATCAAATTCTTGTAATTTGTTTCCCTTACATACACTGCCCTTCTTTATTTTTGACATGCAGTGATGAAGCTCAGAAGCACTGTTAAGCTGTGTATTTTCAATAATATTAGGAGTGATGCACCAAGTGAGTCATCTATTTTAAGAGCCAGAAGAGAAGAGTGGACCATTGGGGTATAGACTAATCCTGTAACTGCTTTGTCAGTCGGTACTTGAGTACATTGTTGAGGCAAACCCAAGTTACATACCCTCTCTTCCAGTTCCTCAAGATTTTTCAATGGCTGTTTATTTATTGAGCAGTACTGAGATCTTAAATGATGCTGGTATGCTCTTCACTCTTTTGGATGCTTCAAAGTACTTATTCTGGTAGAATCTTCCTTTCCGTGGCATCTCAATGATACAATCATAAAAACATTATTTTTTATCATTAATATCGCTGAATTAATGTATAAAGCATGCAGGTAGTGATAAGTACCACAGACTACGTAGTACATCTAAATTAATATTCTATCCTCATATCAAAAACTATAGTATTTTATTATATTTGGCCATTTTCCCATTCTTTAGCTTCTTTTTTGTTGTATAGGTTGAATAAATTCAGCTCTAAAAACAAGCATATTTGGACTTTATGAAGTGAATGAAGCACTGGTGATATTATACCTATTCTATCCTCATGTAGCTGTATTTGATACATCTTATAATAATACAGAGCTTTGCAGGTTGCTTGACCCAATTTTCTTACTTTCTGCTCACGTGACATGTATTATTTGTATGTTGAAAGTCACGTGATTAACAAGTTTGCAGGGTCAAGCAACCTGCAAAGCACTGTATAACAATGATAGTTATAGCAAGAGTAGATAATAATAGAAGAG